CCGCGCCGGCCTGTGCCCGCTGCTTACCGACCGGCCGCGCTTACCCAGCATGCATTTCCAGGCCCCGATCTATGTGGGCGCTGCACCCCCGGGGTCAGGGCGGCCGGAAGAAACAGGAAGTTTGAGCCGGTCCTCGTGGTGGGGCCCCCGGAGTCTTCCCCGCAGGCTCGGAGCTCAGCGCGGCTGCTCCTACCCCGCCCCTCCATCCCCTCCCGCCTCTCTGGCCGACTTTTCTAGCGTCCATTTCGGGGACTGGCCTGAACTCCAAAAATCCAGATGTGCTGGGAGGGGTTCATTCAGGGCACACCCCCAGGGTTCCCTTCGCAGTGCCTTCTAGATCATGGGGTGGGGAGGGAAGGGGCAGCGCGCTCACCCTGGTGGACTGGGAGTCCCACAGGGTGTAGAAGGGGGGAAACGCCCTATTGGATGGGGTGAGCCTAGGCAAGTTGGTTTCCCAAGGCGAATCTCTTCGACAGGTAGGGCAGTGGTTAGAACCTAGCTCAAATGACTCACTGCCATCGGGTCGGAACCAACTCATAGCTGACTCTCCAGTGGGTTGTCAGACGCTTTAAATCACATAGGAGGAGATTACATATCTTTTTCTCCTGCGGAGCAGCTGGTGGATTCAACCCTTTTGGGTTGGCAGCCCAGCTTCTTACTCACCAGAGCTCCTCCCTTGGGCTAAATGAGGCGAGGGTTATTGTTCCCTCCTTCCCGCGCCAGTTACCTTCGTTCTAATCTGCCCTTCACACAGACTTAGGCTGTTTCATTATCCTTGCCAAATATCTCAGAAACCGGGCACCAGCTGTTCTCCAGGGGCACCATCCATGGAGTGGGGCTGCCCCATGGGGTTCCCTTCCCAGCTGGGATGAAACATAGGACCTGCCCTACTAGGGATGATTCTCATCTGAACACCTCTTTGGCCAGGAGGGAAGCACTAGGTTGTCAGTCCTCACCTCAACATGCGTGAACATGAATTAAGGCACCTTGGCCATCCCCAGTTGAGTCTCTTGCTGGCATATGACTGGGAGGGATAGAGGTTGTTACTACTACTGGTCCTAGTGGGCCTTTTTATCCTATGGGCCATTTGCCTAGTCCTTTCCACACAATTGTGGAGACTATTTATTCCTAGCCTTGCCCTCCCAGCCAGGGACTTCACTTGCCCTGCTCACTAGGGGGCTTCTGAGCTCTCCCTAGAGCCTTCCATTCACTGCCCATCTTCCTAGATTTCCTGAGAGGAAGGGGGAAGAACAAGGATGCCTATTTTGGACGGAGGAAACTGGAGACAAAAACTCATTGGCTGTAAGATGATTACAAAGCAAGACTGTCACAGCAGAGTTTTGATCCCAGAAACACCAGGCAGAATTCACTGATCTTTTCTCCGTGTTCCCATAGTATTCCATCTACACCTCGATCAGCACTTTGTATTGCTGTTACTTGTGTGTTTCTCTCCCTTGTGAGGCAATGAGCTCCTCTAGGGCATAAACTAAGCCATATTTCTTTCTGCAGCTTCCCTGCACAGACCCTAGCTCACAGACCCAGACCAAGCCAGACTCATCACTCTCAAGTCGATTCTGACTCAACCATACTGAACAGAGTACAATTGCCCATGGAGCTTCCAACTCGATAAATGATCATGGGTGCAGACTGCCATATCTTTCTCTTGTGGTGCAGCTGGTGGGTTTGAACCACAGACCTTTCCGTTCACACCGTAATGCTTAATCTACTGTGCTAGCAGGCCTCCCTTATTCACACAAAAACTGTGAAAGAAATGTACTAGAAATGGAAGAGATTGATTGAGAAGACCTCCAGGATCTCATTCAGTGCTTTATTCTGCGATGCAACTTAATCATATGCCCATGATATACACATGTAAGCACACAAACAGCAAATGCCCAACCTTCATCATGTCACAGCCCAGCATCAGCCTAAGGCCATATCTCTGCTTGGAAAGTAGCTGTTACATGACGCCAGGTAACTGGTCTTCCGAGAGTTGAATACACAAGTCTAAATATCCGAAGTGTTGGCAGTCAATGTCACCATTGATTTTTCTCAGTACTACCTATTGTTGTTGCCTGACATTTTAAGCAGTCACAGTCCTATGTGAACATTGGACAGTGGAACTGAAAAGGCCCGCGCAGGTGCTCTGGCACAAGTCCCTTGCCTTTAGAGATGAGAGGGTCCCTGGGCCAAAGTCAAGGGAGCAGCACTGACAGTAGAATTTAGCTGCCTTGTTCATCCTCGATTCTCGCCACTGGGAGCGTGAACATGCATGACACACGTGTGTATGCAGACACCTGCCTGGAGCGCCACGTATGGCCTGGCATAAAATAGAAGTGGGGGCAAGGCAGAAACGTGGACCCCACTACAGAGGGCACCTCCCTCCCCCACTTCACACCAAGCCAGCAAGGGCTTGGAGGAGAAGGCTGCTGCTGATCCGAGGCAAGACAGGAGGGCAAGGGGTCACCCCGGGCCTGAGCAGCCTTTGCCAGAGCGTGCCATGGACTGTGAAGCCTACAGGTTTGCAGCTGTCATTTAACGTGCTCGGCTCACCCAGTTCCTCGGCTCGCCTCTGTCTGCAGAGGACGAGGAGAGGAGACATTCCCGGCTCATTCCAGCGAGCCGTGTGCACGCTGCAGGCGTGGTATGCGAGCGAGTGAGCGGGGCGCTTCCAGCTGCTGCCTTACACGTCGAGGGCTGACAGGCAGCCCCCTCCCCCCAAGCAAAACTCATTACCCACGCTGGCCTCTCTCTGCACCGGCATGATCACCGCCACCAGCCCGTCTTCAAAGGAGAGAAATGACTTTTTCTCCACTTCTGCCCTCCAGTTCCTGAGGGACTGTCTTGTCTCAGACCCACCACCTCCATCTGGAAGCCCATCCAGACTTCAACCTGCACCTGCCTTTTAAGAGTCCCCTGAGAGGTGTTGCTTTCAACTCACACCTTTATCAATGCTGTTTGCTTACATTTTTCCCAGCAGAGTGGTCTCTATTCTTTTTACCCCACTGAAGACCATCACCTGTGTCTGGCTTTGCACATACAGTGCTTTGGACTCTTCTAAACCCTTCCCCTCTCTGGTACCACAGCCTGGCTAGGCTGCTCCTGGGACCTTCATTTTCCAGGACAATGAAGCTCAGAGAAGATAAGCAAGCTGCCCAAGGTCACACAGCTGTGACATGGAGGAGGGGGGCGGGGGCCATAATCTCCATCCCTGACTACATAGCGCAGGCTTTGCCCATTTGGCGACCCAAATGCCCCGTTGGTGCCCGACCTCCCAGAAGGAGGAGGGGAGCTGTCTTTCTGCTTCTTTTGTACCTCCAGGGGGGCCTGCTAGTGGACTGGCTTGGAACATGCTTGGTATTCTGAGGCCTGGGGTAGACAGATGAGAGAGAGAGAGAGAGAGAGAGAGAGAGAATATGAATATCTGCCAGCTGCTTCTGGAAGCTCCAGGAAGAGCAAAGCAGCGCGGACTAACGGTGTTGGGCAGATTCCACCCTTTCTGTCCCTTTTCCGTTCTGGTGGGGTAGGGTTTGGGGATACTCCCCACTGCCTAGACCCCAGCTCTTCCCCTCCCCCTGTCCTTTGGGGCTCCAGTGCGTTCAGAGCGCGTGGAAAGAGCTAACAGGGAACTAACTAGTCGGGGACTAGTCGGGGAGGGACTGTTGTCTGGAGCCTTCCTCGCAGGGATGGGTTGTGCCAATCGAATGGCCTGAGGCCCCAGCCCTGGAGCACAGGCCGGCGGGCTCGTCGCGGGCACTCTCTCCCCCTGGCCCCTTCAGGAGTCTCAGCTGATCTCCCCTGAGTGCGCCCCACTCGGCAGCCCCCTCCCCCGCCCCGGACGCCCTCACTGTACCTGGGCCCCGCCCCGACTGTCCCTGGGGGCGGGGCCAGCCCTAGGGCAAGCTGGGGCAGGAAGTGGTTGCAATTACACACTCCCGCCCCGCACTGGCTGCCACTGCCAGAGCGACAATGCTCACTCGGCCGGCCCCAAACGTCAGGGCGGGGGCCGGAGGAGGGCTCGGCCGGGGACTCCTGGGGTGCAGTGAAGGGATCGGGTCTCCTTTTCCTGAGAAAAGGGAGTTTCCAAGGCTGGGCGAGGTGGGAAACCTCCACTGGCTGCGCAGCGCATCGCGGATGAAGGGAGGGGGCGCGGGGGTCGCCTTCCCCAAGCCCAGCATGGCATCCACTCGACACCTCCAGCCCTTTTGAACCTGGTCACTAGCTAAGGGCAGCTTTCCCCAGCTACAGTTCGAGCCCACCGCTAGGCAGTGCCAGGACTGCCAGCTCGGATCGCTCCCACCGGGAGAGGACCGGCTGCTGCAAACCGCCACGCTAGTTTCATAGTCCCCCTCCCCTTTCTTATCAGCCCCCCGCTTATCCCCAGTCTCTGGGGCAGGCTCGAGGCCAGAGAGGGGCTGGGGCCCGTGTGGCCAAAGCCGGAGGTCAGCAGAGTGTAGCGGGCGGGATGGGGTAGTGTGAGAACGCCGGGCCGCGCGGGCCGCAGGCGCTCGGGGAGGAATTTCGCCCCTTTTGCCTGCAACACTAAGGCCACGTTAGAGGGGTGGGCTGAGGAGGGAACGGGGTGGTGCGCTGAAAGCACACGGCGGAGTAAGTGAAGGCATGGAGAGGAGTAAAGTACATTTAAAGAGAAAAGTCTAGAAATCTATTGAACGCTGTGGGGGTGGGGCTCCCCTTGGTCCTTCCACATCACCCCATCCAAACCCCAGTTCCCCGGATATCTCTGCAAAACCTTCTCTCCCTTCCTTGTGCTGTTGAAACTGCTTCCTTCCTACTCCACTGGGATGGATTAGGGTCCACTTTGGGACTATTTGAAGATGAAGGCTGGGAAAGGGTCTCCTCTTTCCATCCCAACCCACGTGGCAGGCACAGCTTGGGGGGCTAGCTGGCCATCAGTCCCTTTTTCCCTGGGCTCCAGGCCCTAGAGAGGCGGGAAGCTCCAGGTTGACTCCAGGTGCCACAGACAACACTGACAAGAGAAAGGGGGCGGGGGGGGGGGCGGGGAAGAATGGTAGAAAGAAGAAAACAGTAATAAAAAACTCCAAACAACCCCAACCCACCGCAAACCCATCTCACCCTACCAGTCTGTTACTAAGGGCCAGAAGGGATTCCCAGTGGGGCCCTAGTCTTGTTCCATTCATAGACAGTGATCACAGTCAGAAGATTGTCTTGGAGTATGAAGGATGGTGATGCAGCCACAGGATCAAATAAGGTGCTGGAAGGGTTTTGTAAAGTCACACGCTTCACACAGATGTGAGGGGTTAAGACTAGCAGTGTTAGGCAGGACAAACTTGCCATTTTCTCCTGTGGATCACGTTTATCCAATCAGAGAGCTCTGGTGCTCTAGTGGTTCAAGTGTTGCACTGCCAACTCAAGTTGTTGTTTGGGTCGAAACACTCACAGCTGACCCTCCAGCGGATTTTCAGAGGCTATACATTGCATGAGAGGAGATTAAGAACCTGCACTGCAATCCCAAAGGTACGTGGTTCAAATCCACCAGCTGCTCCACAGGAGAAGGATGAGCAATCTCCTCCGATCTAATTTGTTGTTGTCGTTGTTGTTAAGTGCGGGCGACTCATAGCGACCCTATGAAGGAGAGTCCTCGACGCTTGGGTGCCTTTCATCCTCTCTCCAGGTTCATAGGGTTTCCAGAGGCAAGCTATTATGGAAGTGGATGCCACTCCTCCTTCCACCCGATCTAATTTACTGCCTCTGAAAACCTGCTGGAGAGTCAGCTATGAGTCAGTGTTAACTAAACAGCACCCAGCAACCGCCAACCCAAGACACATGGTTCGAATCCACCGGTTGCTTGGGGAGGGAAGAAAGATGGGCCTTTAAAAACCCGCTGGGGAGTCAGCTACGAATTGGTTCTGATTTGATAGTACACTGCAAGTCCTTAGGAGGTGGGGTACCTGGGCACGTGTGTGTGCGCGTGCACGTGCGCCTGTGCACAGTGCAACGTGTGCTGTGGGAGGAGTGATTGGGTGCAACCCCTCCCCCCAACTCTGACAAAATGAGATCATAAAGAACAAGGAGTCTTGAAGAGGAAGCTTAAAAATTGAGGCCATCCAGTAGGAACCCCATAGCTCAACCCTCCTGTGGGTTTTCAGACCCTGTAAATGACACATGAGAAGATTGCCCATCTTTCTCCTACAGAGCAGCTGAGGGACTCCTGCTGTCAGAGAGGCATGGCATTTGAGTTAGCGACACAGCTTCCAACAGACTGTGCCACCAGAGTTTATGGAAAGACCTCACCTTAATAGACTGAGGAATAGGAACAGTCTTGTTCGTTCATCTATCTCCCTCCGATACCCAGAACAAGCCGGGGAAAGAGCTTGCTTGATATCTTCTGAGAGAATGATGGAATGACTGGTAGAATTGGGGAGCGGGTTCTGACCTCGGTCTCCTCTGCTGCTGCTAAGTTTTTGAGTATGGGAAAAGGAGTCTCTGCTCCTCTCAGAGGTAGGATTCACCTCCTCCTAGGCCAGCCCCAGGGAGCTCTGGTGGCTTAGAGATAAGGAGCTGAGCTGCCAACCCAAAAGCACGTGGTTCAAACCCACCAGCTGTTCCATGGGAGAAAGTTGGGCAGTCTCCTTCTGTGTGATTGAAAACATGCTGGAGGGCCAGCTATAAGTCAGTTCCAACTTGACACAACAACAGTCTCACCCCATCAAGTCCTGGTGTCTCTCTCCGATTCTGTGTAAGCAAATCACTGCACTTAGTGGTACGGTGGTTAAAAGCACTCGGCTACTAACCATGAAGTTAATGGTTCAAACCTATCAATCACATAGGAGGAAGATGTGGCGATCTGCTTCTGTAAAAATGTACAGCCTTGGGAAGCCTTCTACTCTGTAACTGTAGAGGTCTTTGCTGCCACCAGACACTGGTGTCCAGGGGCTCAGCACACAACTAAGGGCCCTCACACTTTTGGACTGTGTGGAAGTCAATCAACAGACAAATAGGGTCATGGTTGGGGAAATGGGGATCTTGTGACTAGCAAAAGTGTTGAAGATTATTGCATTGCAGGGGGCTCTGGTGGCACAACGAATAGGGAGCTGTGCTGCCAACCCAAAGACGTGCAGTGTGGACCCTCCAGCTGCTTAGAGACAAAAAGATGGGCAATCTCCTCCCATGTGAGTCACCTGCTGGATGGCACGTAACGGTGACATTGCATTGTGTTGCAAGATGAGCTTTCTGATTCTATTTTGGGTTGTAGTAATTTTGGGCTTGGGTAAACAGAAATTTACTGCTTTATAAAGTGTAAGTATGAGGGTGTGTGATGACTGTACACACATGAGTTCAGTGTTAGGGCCTCATAGTGAGAGCCTTAGCTGGCCAGACGGCATATACAAAGGATCACTTTGCAAAGTCAATGTACTGGTAAGTTATTACGAACTCCTGGTCCCTCTAGTTTTCTCAATCTGCTTTGATATAGGTGTGCTTGTTGGCTTCTCTTCACAACACTGTGCCATTGTTAGGCCCCTCAGACTTGATTTCAGTGGAATAAAATGCACACAGTGAGCCGGGAGGAATCTACTTCTGAGATTTGCATGCTCTGAGAATTCGGTCTGGGAGAAAAGTTCAGGCAGAGAAAAATATAGTCTGTGTCGGTCCTGGCAGGGCCTGCCTGTCCAACTTCCCTCCATCCTCTGTCCCCACAGAGCAGCTCTGCGACCGCTCCTCCATGATCTCCAGGCCAAGAAGGCTCTCTTTCAGTCAGCCATTCAATCAACAAACGTGGACTGGGAACTTTCCTGTCAGCCCTAGGCCTGTTAGGTCCTGCGGCTAACAAGGCTGGAGCAGGTTTGCCCTCCCCTTCACCCTTCACCTTTCTGGTCTATATTTTGTATTTTCTTTTCCTGTTCCAGGCACTTCTTGATGTTCTATAATCAGGGTTAACAGTTTTCCATTCAGCCTGGCTGCTAGGTCTCCAAGGGCTTGCGAGGGACCCCTTTGGAAAGGACACTGAATGGGGATGTCGGACATAGGACAAGGGTGTCACGAACATCTGGAGGAGATGCAAGCCTGTTTTACTTATTTATTCATTCTTGTCCACACCCTTGAACAGGCAGGAGGAAAATCATGTGATCAGTGCTGTGCTGGAATCACATTCTCACCTCTGCTCTGTCGAAGCAGGTGCCTCAGGTCTGAAAGGTCTCTTGGTAGGTCTCGCTTAGGCTGTCACCTTTCAGGGAGACTGTCCTGTTGGCTCCCAGGACATGGCCTTGTGCGTCCTTTGTGCTGACACTCCAATAAATGAGAACACCTCTGGATTTGGGAGTCTTCTAGTCTACCAAAGGTTAACACTTACCTCATTATTTAAAAAAAAAAATAAACAAATTTTAAGTCTTTGCCACTTGCACCTAACAACAATAATTTAGAGGGAAGAATCCCGGAGCATCTACTGATGAGATTACTCTTTGTTTACTGGATATCTGGTAGGAATCTGCAATCCATGGGTCCCAAATTGAGGGCCCCAAGCCCAGAAAAGCCCGTGAGAGGCTCTAGAAACGGGTTGTGATGCCTCATAAAGTCTGACGAAACCAACTGGTAAAAAAGAGAGTCAGCAAAAAGGAGGGAACCATTCAGTGAGGTGGAATGATGGGCTCAAACACTTCGATGACTGTGGTCATGGCACAGGGCCAGGTACTGTTTCATTTCATTATACGTGGGGTCACCAAGAGTTGGTTTGCTGATAAGTCACACAAGCACGTATACACGGACAGTGAAGCCACATACACACCTGTACGAGGCTACAGAGGTTACCTACAACATCAACTGCTTTTTTGCCTCTGGCTGAGGTGAAATGACCTCAGTGTGGCTGGTTTGTGCTGATCTGAAGCTCTGATGGGCAGTTTTCTATGTGTTTGGTAAACTGTCAAATGGTAAATTAATTACCCAATGAAAGTGTTCGGTTTCAATGGATGAGCATTTTCAGCATGGTAGAGTTTTGGTGGTGTTTGGTTTGTTTTTGTTTTTATTTTAATGAAAGTTTACAGAGACTTTTGGATTCATACATTGTTGTACATCTTTCTCCCTACACACCCCTCCCCCCAGTTTGTTTTTCTCTTTGAAAAGAAAAAAAAAAACTTTCCATTTTATACAATCTCCTCCAGTCCACAGTCCACTTTACTATCCGGGTGTTTTTTTTTTCTGTGAT